ATTTCCCCAAATATTGTTGTTACAGAGTGCATATTACGGCTGCGGAGGACAAAAATAACAAATCGGATGAACAATATATATGGGAGCTATAGCTATATCCGAACCGATTTCGATCAAATTTGGCATAATTATTTTCAGGCCTAATTTGGTTGTATGTGCAAAATTCCATACTATTCGGGCTGATATTACACGTTTGGTGCACAATAAAAGGCAAATCGGACGAAGATATATATGGGAGCTATATCTAAATTTTGACCGATTATCTCCAATTTCAATAGGGTTCGTCCTTGGGCCAAACAAATGATTTGTGCAAAATTTCATCTGGATAGGGCAATAAATGCGAACTGTACTTTGTTTACAAAAATACATGGACAGACGGACGGACGGACGGACGGACGGACAGACGGACGGACGGACATGCATAAATCGACTCAGAAAGTGATTCTATGCAGATCATCAAAAGGAACTGTGGGTCTATCTCGTTTCCTTTTGCCTGTTACAAACAAATGCACAAAGACATAATACCCTGACCACCTAGTGGTGTAGGGTATAAAAAGAAAGAATGAAAGAAAGAAATGTGTATTCAAAGAAGAAGAAAAGAAGGAGAAGAAAAACAAGGATGTAGAGCATAAAAATTGTTACAATTGTAAGGGCGATTGTGTATCCCCAGAAAGTTGCCCAACCAAACCTACCGTTGGAGGTTGGATGATATGCAGTAGATGTGTGTGTGAGTGTGCCATTTGTTGTTGGTGTTGTTACATCTACGAATGTTGTCCATATTCTTGTTTGACATGAATAATTAGGAAGAGAATGTTAGAAATTATTACAAAACGACGAACAAATAAAACAAACAAAATTCAAACACATTCATACCTAGAAAGTAAAGTATGAACACCACTTTCTAGGTATGAATGTGTTGGAGGATTATTAATTCCGTCAAAGCAGTGGTACAAATTATGACATAAGATTAAAGTTTATTACTGTAAAACGTCTTAGTAGGTCAAACATACAATTTGAAATTGGAATTTTTGACAAAAATCTACAAAATGTATCTCATTGAAATAACGCATCGAAAATTAGACAACAAAGCGGACTTTTTGGTGCTTATCTTGAAAATATGGTTAAAAACACCCATTAAAGCTATCAAAATATTCTAAAATTCTTTCTTCCTGTCATAAAATTCAACTAAAGGTCTCTCAGAATACATCAAAATCCAAATTTAACCTAAACTTCAGCAATTTAAAAATGTTTAAAACTAATTTTATACAGGGTGAGATAAAAAAACTGCAACAAAGTCTAACGCCATAATTTTTAATTTTTTTAATTGAGTGCTGGTAGTCACTTGTAGTTTTCCAGCCAAATATAAAGAAATCCCACTACCACGATTGAATTCCATCACAAATAAGTTTTTTTTTTTTTGAAAATTCTGACCAAAATGCTTTTGTACGCTTGTAAACAATATAATGAGCTGTCACTGGAATAATTTTAACAGCTGTCGGAGGAGTGGTTTAGAATAAACAGCAGTTTGAAGTTGGTTGCAGTTTTTTCATCTCACCCTGTATTTTAGTACATTTCGTACACTTATAGTGCGTATTTCCAAAAACCTTTATTACACCTTACTTGTTCGTCAAATACAAATTTAGTACATTTAACTACTTTTCATACAATTCTGTTATGAATTTTCAAAACACCAGCCTTATCTCACACCTTCGGACTAGAAGTGACCTTCACCAAAAATTTCAAGATTATAGCATCAGCCGTTTCGGGCTTGGATCACCCCTTATTTCAGTCAGTCAATCACTTTTCTTGCTATAATCGCGTCTAAAGGGCATTTTTCATCATTTCTTTTGACTCGATAGATGGTTAATATTTTCGACCAAAATAATTCTAGTATTGTTAGAGCATTATTGTCAAAGACATAATATATGTTAGGATTTCAAGTAAATTAAAAAAAAAAGCAGTAAAGAAAGTCTTAAGGTCGGGCGGGGTCGACTTTTTGATACCCTACACCACTTTGCTAATTTAAAAGTTTTTACCAAAGGCTACATATGCCGAAGCATTTGTACCTTCTAAATTCGGACTTGTATAGCCCATTTAATATGAAATCGGATAAAAATATATATGGGAGCTACATCCAACCCGGAACCGATCTCGATAAAATTTTGCAAATATATTTCTGAGCTGTATTTGATCGATTTCCGTGAATATCGTTGTTACGGAATGCTTATTACGGCTGTGGGTAACAAATATAACAAATCGGATGAACAATTTTTTGGGAGCTATAGCTATATCTGAACAGATCTTCACCAAATTTGATATATTAGACTCAATTCGGTCATAAGTGCCAAATTCCATTCCATTTGGACAATTATTAGATGTTTGGTGCACAAGAAATATTAAATCCGACGAAGTTATATATGGGAGCTATATCGAAATCTGAACCGATCTGGATAAAATTTAGCAAAGGTATTTCTGAGCTGCATTTGATATATTTCCCCAAATATTGTTGTTACAGAGTGCATATTACGGCTGCGGAGGACAAAAATAACAAATCGGATGACCAATATTAATGGGAGCTATAGCTATATCTGAACCGATTTCGATCAAATTTGACATACTAGCTTCTAGACTCAATTCGGTCATAAGTGCCAAATTTCATCCAATTTGGGCAAATATTAGACGTTTGGTGCACAATCAAAAGTAAATCGGACGAAGTTATATATGGGAGCTACATCCAAATCTGAACCGACCTCGATCAAATATAGCAAATGTATTTCAGGGCTGTATTTGATATATTTCCCCAAATATTGTTGTTACAGAGTGCATATTACGGCTGCGGAGGACAAAAATAACAAATCGAATGACCAATATGAATGGAAGCTTTAGCTATATCTGAACCGATTTCTATCAAATTTGACATACTTATTTTCAGGCCTAATTTGGTTGTATGTGCAAAATTCCATACTATTCGGGCTGACATTTCACGTTTGGTGCACAATAAAAGGCAAATCGGACGAAGATATATATGGGAGCAATATCTAAATTTTGACCGATTATCTCCAATTTCAGTAGGGTTCGTCATTGGGCCAAACAAATGATTTGTGCAAAATTTCATCTGGATAGGGCAATAAATGCGAACTGTACTTTGGTTACAAAACTACATGGACGGACAGACAGACGGACGGACATGCATAAATCGACTCAGAATGTGATTCTATGCGGATCATCAAAAGGAACTATGGGTCTATCTCGTTTCCTTTTACCTGTTACCAACAAATGCACAAAGACCCTGACCACTTTGTGGTGTAGATAATAAAAACAAGTTAAATGGCAGTATGTTCGGCCGGAAAAGAAAAAACAAATTAAGAAAGCTGAAAGTTCGGTCGGTCCGAACTTTGAATATCCTCCACCATTTGGAATGAATTTAGAAATGTTCAAAAAATAAAATCTTTAAAAAATTCTGTTTAAATTTTAAAAATACCAAATATAGCCGTTTTTTAGGGGTCTATACGACGTGGACCTACATAGGCATTGTTTGTCGTAAGCCATTACCATATTCAAATTCGAAAACTTGAAATAAACGGTGAATAATGTAGCTAAAATCATCAAAATATCGTATACAGGGAGGTATAGTTATGCGAAGACCTGGACCTGCGTAGACAATTTTCTGTCACAGGCTGTAGCATCCATTACGAAGTTCAAATACGATATCTCAAACAATTTCGGTGGATATTGTACCTAAACTCGTCAAAATACCGAATATAGGGAGGTACTGATATATGGGTCTTATACGAAGACCTCTTTCGAACTTCAAATACCAAATTTGAAACAATTCCGGTGAATAATGTCGGTAAAATCATATACCGAATATCAGGAGGCTATACGAAGACGTGGACCTACATGGCCCGTTTTCGAACTTAACCTGCCTACTGGAAAAACAAACATGTGTGCAAAATTTTAGCCTTCTATCTCAATTCGTTCGAAAGATAGCGTGATTACAACAGACAGACAGACGGACATCGCTAAATCGACTTAGAATTTTACGCTGATGAAGAATATATATACTGGGGTCTGACATGAGTATTTCGAGGAGTTACAAACGGAATGACAAAGTTAATATACCCTCCATAGTATGGTGGAGGGTATAAAAATTGGAGAGGTATTTTTCCCGATTTAGGCTACTTTGCCATAATTTTTCTATTTTTAGCTCCACTTCCATAATCTGTTTGGTTTTTCCTGTAATTGTGGAAAAATCGAATTTTTGTCGTCCAGTGTAATCAGGTTTAAATTGTAATTAGAAGACTTGGTAATAATGTCTCCTTATGCTCTGGATGATGCTACAACTCGATGTCCTCTCCTAACCACTGTCCATTGTTTGTGTATCTCAAGACATGGACATGGACATTTGTAATTCAAACACATAATAAAGCAATCATGTTTTATGACATAAACACAAAAAAAATAAAATAAAATAAAAAATAAATAAAATGTAATAAAAAATAAAGACATTTGCTTTGCTTGTCTTCACATCATTCATTTATTTGTTTGACCTTCCATTCATGCTGTCTGTCTGTCATACATTCATTCATCTATCAAACCATACATCCATCCATCCATCGAACCATTCAGCCATCGAAAGCGTCACAATTGTCACATAATTCCAAAATCGCAAATCAAAGAGAGTCCGAAAGAAAACACCATTGCCGTTATTGTTGTGCAGCAGTGTCATCGGGACACAAATGTGCTGTTTGGCCGGATTGCTGGCTGGCTGACTGTTTCGTTGGTTGGTTGGTTATTGTGAAATGAGAGTAGTGGGGGTGGTGTGGGTGAGGCAGAGAGAGAGAGAGAGCAAACATGTTTACCAGATGATGCGAGAAATGTTGTGTCATCTATCAACAGCTGTAGTTTTGGCAAAAGAAAACTTTGCAGTTTTCCCAAGCAAAACACTCATATGTCGATAGAGAGACACACACACACGCATTCACTCGCCGAATCTCTTCTCGTAAACATATCACAAGCAGGTTGAGGGGTGGGTGGCTGAAGGAAGGATAAACAACATTCGCTAATGCACATTTGCTGCCAATTTTGCGTAACGATTGTTTTGATTACGTTGGCTAAAGCTGCTGCGCATGGCGGCATTGCCCACCATGGCTGGCAGACCACGGACATGGAACACATTCTCCTTGCCGTTGGCATTAAAACTTCTCGCGTTGGCATTGTTGCGGCTCCATAACTCGGGAATTTGTGGTCTTTGCAACTCGGACAGAGGCTTACGTTTCACATAGACTTGCCGTTGATTTGGTGAAATGCTATTCGTTCGAACTGTTTCCCGTTTAATTACCACGGGATTTGTGTAACGTTGCCTTTTAAGGGATTCCCGGTAGGGGAGTTGGCAAGGCAGGGGTGGGTGTTGCTCCGGCTGTTCATTTGAGGATAGTTTCTCCTGCAATGCCAGTTGAAGGTGTTTACATTGCTGTTGCAAAACTCGATTGGCAAAATTTTGTTCATTACGACAATGCGAAAGCTGGGGAGTTGGCGGATAATCCCATACCATGGAAGGTTTTAGAGGTTTGCCAATGGGATTTTTCTTCGAGAGATTCATGCGTTTGCCGAGAATTTCCTCAATTGCCATTAAATTGTTTTCAACATTGGATTCCATTTGCAGAGGTTTTGGTTTGGTGGATAAACCCTTAAACATGTGGCATGACTTCTTTTTACTGGGCTGGACCAGGGAGGCGAAAACCTTGGGATTTATGGCGGTATTGGATTTTTTAGCTGCTGCACCACCTCCTCCATGGATCATGGTAAAGGATTTCTTCAATTGCCTCAAGGCATGCGAAGAAAGTCTAGATTTGTTATGACCCACAGGGGCGGTAGGTTCCTGCCTTCGAAAAACGCTACGGCTACTGGAACTGCTGGCACTGGAACCAAAACGCCGCTGTTGGTATATCTTATAGGTGGGGGGTTTAAGCAGCTTTTTACTACCCTCTGGCGTTTGATTCGTGAGCAAACGTTTCCTGCTAACCTTCATAATGCTATGCAACAAATGCGACTCATCCACATTTGAGGCCATATACTTCTTCGAACTCGAGCTCAAACGCTTGGCTTTTTGTTGTTGCAATTCCCTCTCGGTTTCCTCCTTGAACATCCTTATGGGAGCTTTATTTTCCATTCGTGCTGAAGCAGCTTTAATTTGTTGCAAGCCATGACGATACTGCTCGGGGATTTGCTCATAGAACTTTTTAATGCAGGTGCTAACAATTTGGTTGGTATTTTTGGACAACAACTGGGGCTACAAAGGGGGAAGATTTGAAATAGAGAATTCTTTATCGAATTTCAACTCACATCAATGTTAATTTTTCTCTTCACAAATTGATTTAAATTCGATGTGGTCATTTCTCTGCGTTCTGTTATATCACCATTCAATTTATGTAGGATCGTCCTGCCTTTAAAATTTGGATTCATAAAAAATTGAAATTTTTCAAAATATTCTGATATTTTGACAACAAGTTTGAAATATCTTTTCAACCAACGAAGTCGCAATGAGGTGGGTGAAATAATTTTGGGAAATTATTTGTAGAAATTTTTATACGACAACATAATTTTGCCATTCCGTCGGAAAAAATGCCAAATTATTTAGATGTCAAGGTGAGGGTACATAAGCAGCTAGAAGTCTTCGCACTGCATATTTTGTGACATATCATAAATGGATTATAGAGCCGCACTGGAATCGTGCCGTCGTTTCCCCTTATAAAATGATATTAATAAGCCTAGCCATGATGCCAAGCTGTTTTGTACCCCCACCTTCAGTCTGCGACAAAAGTCCTTTTAGAGCCTTTCAACGCCCTGACGAAACGGCTGAAACAAGAATCTTGAAATTTTGGGTGAGGTCCGAAGATATCAGATCAAGCTGGGTTTGAGCAACTAGTAGAGCTAGAACTTGTAAATTTGGAGTGCATGATGGATGTACCCAAGGGTTTTTGGAAATTCGCACTATAAGTGTACGAAAAGTACTAAAATGTACTATATTTGGTACTATTTCGTATCATGTGAACAGAATCAAAATTCAGGTGTAGGGTCGATGTAAGGATGAAGTTTTGGAAATGTGTACTCATGTATACGAAAAATACTATATCGTACCAAATTTAGTACAATTCGAATTTGAAGAAACGAAGGAACAATTCGAAATTTGAAATTAAAATTGCAGCCGAAGAGTAGGAAGGATGTACCAACGGATTTTTGCAAAATCGCACTATAAGTGTACGAAAAGTACTAAGATGTACTATGCTTGGTACCAATTCGAAATTTATAAACGCTTAGAGCTAAAAACTTAAAATTTGGAATGACAATCAAGGTTGAGGAGTAGAGTCGATGTAAGGATGTAGTTTTGGAAGTGTGTACTCACTTATACGAAAAGTACTAAATGGTACTAAATTTGGTAAAATTACGATTAGACTGAACAGATAGATCTGGAATTCTGAATTCTAAAAATGTGATTTCTATTACATTGTGGGGCGAAGGTATGCAGATAGATTTGGGAATTCGTACTTATGTGTACTAAATGGTACTAGATTTGGAACAATTTAAATTTTGGGTGAACCAATAAAGCAGGAATCCTGAAAAATGGAATTAATACTTCTGTTGGATTGAGGTATGTAGGTAGTTTTGGAAATTCGTACATATGTGTACTAAATGGTACTTAATTTGGTACAATTTGTGTTTAGGGGAATCGATAAGGATGGAATTCTGAACTTTGGAATTACTGTGGGAGTGTTGGATTTGGGTTTGTAGGAAGCTTTGGAAATTCGTACTTATGCGTACTAAGTGGTACTAAATTTGGTGCAATTTAAATTTTGGGAGAACCAGGCAGAGTTGAACTCCTGATATTTGGAAATACGATTTCCATAGGATTGTATGATGCAGGTTGTTTGTAATTTTGTGTACTGAATGGTACTAAATTTGGTACAAATCTGAATTGTGGTGAATCGATAGAGCTGGAATTCTGAAATTGGAAATGAGACTGTATGTGATTTCAATGGGACTGTGCGATTGAGATATGGAGGTAGTTTTAAAAACTTGGAGCGTAGGATTGAGGTTTGTAGAACGTTTTGGAAATGCGTAGTTATGTGTATTAAATTTGGTATAATTGGGATATGAGTGAACCGATAGAGCTGGAATCCTGAAATTTGATATTAAGATCACTGTTGCTGTCTGTAGTTAAGATTCGGAGGTGTTTTGTAAAAATGCGTCCTATATTTCTGCGAAAAGTACTAAGTTGTAGTAAATTGGGTATTAGACGAAGGAAAAGGGCTGGAGTCATCAAATTTGATATTGGGGTTACAGTTGCTGTCTATGTTTGAGATATGGAGGTAGTTTTGGAAATGGTACACATTGTACGGAAAGCACAAAATTGTACTATTTTGGTATTGGATGAAGGGATATAGCAGAAAACCTGAAATTTGATGTGGTTGTCACTGTTGATGTCTGTGGTTGGGAGAAGAAGGTGCCATTGGTTGTTGGGATAAAGATGGAATTCTGAAATTTGATATCGAGGCCACAGTTGGTGCTTAGGGTGGTGAGTGGGAAGGGGTTTTGGACATGTGTAGAATATCTGTGTGAAAAGTATGGTAATGCATTTGCGATTGGGGAACTGCTTTAAAAGCAATCGTCAATATAGGTCTAAGTTTACTAATGGGGAAACTTTCTACAACTAATTTTCGACTGGGAACGTTCCTCAGGTACCTTGAGTAGGAAAATGTTTTGTAGGCAAATGTTTGAGGGAATGTTTTACTTTTCTTCAGAATGGGAAAATATGGACCTATAAGACAGTGGACCAATAATTACACTGGGCCACAAAATAAATTTTTTTAATAATTACGGGGTATTCCAGCAGATTATGAAAGTAGAGCTGCAAAAAAGAAGAATCCGAAAATTTCCAAATGACTGGAAAAGGGCGAACTTTCCCCCTTTTTTTTTGTTACTTTGCGATGCAATCTTTCAAAACGCCGATACAAGTGGTTTCCCTTTTTCGGTTCTAGTTTCATAATCTGCTGGATTTTTTCCCGTAACTATTGAAAACAAGTGAAAAATCAGTAAGTTCGATCGGGCCGAACTTTAAACACCCTCCACTGCTTGGAAAAAATTTGGAAATTTTCAAAAAAAAAAAAAAAAAAAAAGCAGTAAAGAAAGTCCTAAAGTCGGGCGGGGCCGATTTTATGATACCCTACACCGCTTTGCTAATTTAGTTGAGTACCACATTACAATCAAAAGTTTTTATGGGAGAATTCAATCATACACCCTATGACTATAATTATGATTTAAAATTCAAGGGGCAAAATATGCCGAAGCATTTGTATCTTTTAAATTCGGACTTATATTGCCCATTTGGTGCAAAATTAATTTGAAATCAGATAAAGATATATATGGGAGCTATATCCAAATCTGAACCGATCTCGATAAAATTTGGCAAAGACATTTCTGAGCTGTATTTGATATATTTCCCCAAATATTGTTGTTGCAGAGTGCATATTGTGGTGGCGGTGGACAAAAATAACAAATTGGATGAACATTATATATGGGAGCTATAGCTATATCTGAACCGATTTCGATCAAAATTGGCATACATATTTTCACGCCTAATTTGGGTGTATATGCAAAATTCCATACAATTCGGCCTAATATTACACGTTTGGTGCACAATAAAAGGCAAATCGGACGAACATATATATGGGAGCTATATCTAAATTTTGAACGATTATCTCCAATTTAATAGGGTTTGTCCTTGGGCCAAACAAATGTTGTTTGGAAAATTTCATCTCAATCGGATAATAAATGTGACCTGCATTTTGTTCACAAGAATATATGGACAGGCGGACGGATGGACAGACGGACTGACATGCATAAATCAACTCAGAAAGTGATTCTATGCAGATCATCAAAAGGAGCTATGGGTCTATCTCGTTTCCTTTTGCCTGTTACAAACAAATGCACAAAGACATAATACCCTGACCACCCTATAAAAAAGAAATGAAATAAATAACAAGTAAAACAGCTGTAAGTTCGACCGGGCCGAACTTCTCCACAGTTTGAAACGAATTTGGTAATATATAAAAAAAATAAAATACGTTAAAAATTCTGTTCAAATCTTAAAAATACCGAATGTAGTCATTATATTAGAGTCTATACGACGACGAGGACTTGAAAAAATCGGTAAATAATGTAGCTACAATCATAAAATACTGAATATAGGGAACTACCATTATATGGGGGCTATACGAAGACGAGGACCTGCAAACGAAATTTTTAGGCATGGGGTGTCGTACCCATTGCAAACTTCGAATACGAAATTTGCCGTATACCGGGTGGTATCGTTATATGGAGGCTATTTCAAGGAGTCACAAACGGAATGACAAAGCTAATATACCCTCCATAGGATAGTGGAGGGTATAAAAGGAGAATCCGGATATTTCCAAAAGTCTGGGAGAGGGCGAAGTTTCCCTCTCTATTTTTGGTTACTTTCTGATGTAATCGTTTAAAATGCCGTTACACGTGTCTTCTTTCCTTAGCTCTCATTTTATAATCTGCAGGATTTTTCCCGTAGTGTGGCTTCTAAATCTTTTCCCTTTTTTCTCTATATATTCTTTTGTTTTCAAGCGTTTTCTTTATTTTAAATTTCACTTTTATTTTCTTTATTTTTCTTCCCTTTCTCCTATTTATAATTCCTTCAGATCGTCCATTGGTCGCTTGGCCAATGGATGGGAAAATGAAATAATTAAAAATTCTAAATTCCTTTTTCTTGAGCATAAATTGGAAATTTATTTCAACACCTTGAAGGTCGAAATGAGGAAAGGATTAGAAGGTGATTTTTAATACATCCCAACGTGAATGTGAGTGCTGTGTGAGGAAGGGGTGTTCTTTGCTTCATCATTCCATCTTGTCTTAATTCCATTTCCCTAATGAAGTTCAGAGTGATGACATTAAAGTGTGCGAAAGAAACGTTGCCGGAGAGAGATTCTTTGCAATTTTCTCAATTATTCTCTGTCCACTATTTGCTTTTTTTTTTGCTTTTTATTTGCCTTGACTTGAGTTATGGCAAAAGAAGGAAAATAATGTATCACGAAAGAGAAAGGGAGAGAGAGTGTGTGTATGAGTTCTAAGTGTTTATCCTGGTCTTAGGCCCTGCCAGATGTCCATAATCGTTGCAAGTCAAGTGTCTGATTAAATGTTAACACCTAAAAGCCCAGCTGCTGCTGCTGCCGATGCCAATGCCGGCTCTTTGACAAATGATAAATTAATGATGATTTTTCAATGTTGTTGTTGTTGCTGTTGTTGTTATGCTTGTCGTTGTTCCCATTTTCACACTGTTTTGCCTTCGGAAACAAACTCTTTATGGTTGGAGAATTCAAGATACCAAGGCCAAAACAAAAGCACTTGAGGCCAGCAGCGACATGGGTAAAAAGCTTGTGAAGCTAGACTACCCCCCCCCCCCCCCCCCCTGACGGACACCTTCGATTTGTTTGCCATTATCGTTCCGTTCATTCTTTAATGCGATTTACCCTTTCTTCGCCCTCCTTTTTAATGTCTTTTTATGTTGGGATTGTTATTTGCTGTTGTTGTGAATTATTGATGTTGTTGTCAATGTTTCTGTGTTGTGTTCAATGTGGCCTATAGTGTCTTGCTTTAGATGTCGGCTTTGATTTCTATTGGATTTTGAAATAAATATTTTAATATAATTTAACGCCATTTGTGTTGAGAAACTTTTTCAGAGGCGATTAATGAAGTTGAGATGGGATACGATATTACTACGTTTAGGAGTCCCATTTTGAGTGAATAAAGAAAATATTGCTCTTTTACAAAAATGTGGCATAACTTTAATAATGAGTTGCCAATTTATATTTTTCTGCGATTGTTACTTTATCTTCTTATCAAATTGTTATTTAGTTATCTAAAATTATAGCTTTTTACTCGGATTTTGCCAAAAAATCAACAAAAATAGGTTATTGCGTTTATGAAGGACATTACGGCTTCAAATCATTCTTGCACAGAAATTTTGCCTCTCCTTTTAGCCATTGGCACAATTCACATGAGAGTAATTATACCCTCAGCCATATGGCTACAGAGGGTATATATCATTTGATACGGTCAAAACGTGCCTAGTCGAAATAACGGTTTTAGACCCTAGGTCTCTTTGGACCAAATCCGTTTCAGAACATTTGGAGTTGATCTAGCGATGTCCGTCCGTCTGTCTGTCTGTCTGGCTGGCTGGTGCGAACGATAACTCTCGAAGGGAGTATCCGATTTGGTCCAAACTTGGTACATCGCAATATTTTTATCAAACTTAGATCGAGTTCGGAGATGGGCAATATCGGTCCACTCCTTCTGGTACCTCCCCCACAAAATGTCAAAATTTCCAAAGAAAATAATTTATTGCACAGAAAGAGAAAGGATAATCCGATTTTCCTCGAACTTTGTGAATCCAAATATTTTCATCAGTTCTAGTTCAGGTGCGAAAATGAACAATATCGGTCCACTCCATCAGGGACCTCCCCCACAAAGGGTCAAAATTTTGAATAATTACAACTCTTATAAAATATGATGTAAAAGTCCGATAGTCTTCAAATTTCACACATCGCAATAATTTTATTAGCACAAGGTTTGGTGCGCAAATGGAATGTATCAGTCCACTCCTTCTGGTACCTCCCCCACAGAAGGTCGAAATTTCAAAAAATATCTTTTGCACACAAAGAGAAACGATAATCCGATTTTGATCTAACTTTGCAAATCCTAATATTTGTGTCAGTCCTAGGTCAGGTCCTAAAATGGACAGTATCGGTCCACTCCATCAAGTACCTCCCCCAAAAATGGTCAGCATTTTGAATAATTATAACTCTTATAAAATGTGATGTAAGGATCCGAACGTCTTCAAATTTCACGCATTCCAATATTTTTATAAACCCAAGATCTGGTGTTGACATGGAATGTATCGGTCCACTCCTTTCGGTACCTCCCCCACAAAGTGTCGAAATTTTGAATATCCATGAAGCTCATAAAACGCCAAATTAACATCCGATTCCATTTAGACTTGACATATCTCAATATTTCCATCAACACAAGATCTGTTATAAAGGTGGTACCTCCCCCATACAAGGGATCAAGATTTTGAAAAACAAAACACTCAAATAAAGCAAAATAAGCAACCAACTCTCTTCAAATTTCACACATATAAATATTTTTGCCAACACAAGATCTGTTGTGAAGTTGATATATATCTGCGAACCCCTTCCGGTACCTCACCCACAAAGGGTCACAATTTTCAATAATTTTATCTGTCATAACTTTCGAAACAATTGAGCAATTCTTTACTACTTGCTATTCTCAAATATTTCTCTCAATAAGAAGCCTGATATGATTATGAAATTTATCGGAATTTATGATTTCGCATAAAATTGGAAATAAATATCCTTTCTTGTAATTTTGCCCAATATTTCGCTCAATATTTTTTATTTGTATCAGATGAAGTATCAAAATGGAATATTTCGGTAGACCCTATCTGGTACATCACACACATTTTAACATTTTCTAAAAATTATTACATATCTCATATAAAGTGAAGGAGTTAGTCGATATAATCCATACCAGGAACGTCGGAATATTTATATATACGATACGAAATGGACAATATTGGTCCATTCCTTCGGAACCTGCTCCATAGAGGGCCAAACGTTTGAATAATTGTAACACTAGTCAAATATATTTTGATTATTAAATCGAACATAGGCTGAGGGTATATATCTGTCGGCAATACCGACTGATAATTTTTAACTTGTTTTTAATTTTTCTTGAATTAAAGCAAAAAATGTTGGAAATAGCATCAAATTTTAAAATAAGTTTAGATTTCTTCGAATTGGTCACCTTTGACACGAATTATGGCCTTCAAACGGCCAATAAAACCATCACACGTTGCGGTATTTTGGTTCATTCCCGGCGAAGCTCTTGCTTGAGATGATCGACACTTTGGTATTTTTTAGTGTTAACCTTGCTTTCCGAAATTATCCAGACAGAATAGTCCAACGGATTAATATCCGGAGATTTTAGTGGCCATAGTGTGCTGGAAATGAAGCGAGGAACCTTCGTAAACATTTGCGCGTGCTGTGTGGTGAGTCCTGTTGTAATATCCAAGTTCTGCGGCCAACATATTACGTCTTTGTGCATTTGTTTGTAACAGGCAAAAGGAAACGAGATAGACCCATAGTTCCTTTTGATGACCTGCATAGAATCACATTCTGAGTCGATTTATGTATGTCCGTCCGTCCGTCCATCTGTTCATGTATTTTTGTAAACAAGGTACAGTGTGCATTTATTGCCCGATCCAGATGAAAATGTGCACAAATCATTTGTTTGGCCCAAGGACGAACCCTATTGAAATTGGAGATAATCGATAAAAATTTAGATATAGCTCCCATATATATCTTCGTCCGATTTACCTTTTATTGCGCACCAAACATGTAATATCAGCCCGAATAGTATGGAATTTCGCACACACAACCAAATTAGGCCTGCAAATAAGTATGCCATATTTGATCGAAATCGGTTCAGATATAGCTATAGTTCCCATATATATTGTTCATCCGATTTGTTATTTTTATCTTCCGCAGCCGTAATATGCACTCTGTAACAACAATATTTGGGGAAATATATCAAATACAGCTCAGAGAGATCGGTTCAGATTTGGATATAGCTCCCATATATAACTTCGTCCGTTTCACCATTTATTGTGCACCAAACTAATATTTGTCCAAATACGATGGAATTAGGAAATTATGACCGAATTGAGTCTAGAAGCTGGTATGTCAAATTTGGTGAAGATCGGTTCAGATATAGCTATGGCTCCCATATATATTGTTCATCCGATTTGTTATATTTGTTACCCACAGCCGTAATACGCACTCCATAACAACGATATTCAGGGAAATATATCAAATACAGCTCAGAAATATCTTTGCCAAATTTTATCGAGATCGGTTCCGATTTGGATATAACTCCCATATATATCTTTATCCGATTTCAAATAAATTGTGCACCAAATGGGCAATACAATTCCGAATTTAAAAGATACAAATGCTTCGGCATATTTAGTCCTTTGAACTTTAAATTACAATTATAATCATAGCATGTATGATTGAATTCTCCCATAAAAACTTTTAATTGTTATGCGGAGCTCTACTAAATTAGCAAAGTGGTGTAGGGTATCATAAAGTCGGCCTCGCCCGACTTTAAGATTTTCTTTACTGGTTTAATATATCCTAAGGGCACACATTTGTCGGCAACCGGATTGAAATGTTCAGACTTGTTACATTAAAGTCTATTCTACTTAATTTAAGTCTAAATATACTTAACTTCTGATTTCTTTCCACTTCATGTATTAAATCCATCTTCTCAGTCTCTGATAATCAATCACTTCACTCCATAAATATATGTTTGAAAGAAAGACATTGTTTAATGGAGTGTCAGTAATTGCCCAATAATGAATGACACGACTGAACATTCCAACGAATTAGTTGCCCAATTATGTGTAAAGGTGGACGGACCATTAACACGAAATAATTCGTTTGATCATTTGAATTATTTATGCTATTCGTCGGGCTCATAAGGCCAACAAATGAAAGTCAATTAAATCGTAATATCATTATATGCGCTAAACAATATTACTGCTATAATTTCGATACAGTTATGGACCAATTTATAGCACAATAAAGTCAACAGAGTTTTTTTTCGAAAACTAAAATTCCAAAATTTAGTTAAGAATGGGACTGACATCGAATTTTGGAAATTCCAAGGGAATGTGTAGCACCTAAAATATGGAGATTTTGATTCAAAATTGTGTTCAATCATTGCTACATTTTTGCCCATAACTGTTTTGGGGAGTCGAATTACAATGCCCATTGCCTTGTTTAAATCAAAATAATGTGAGACAGTGTCTTTTTAACAATAACTGAATTATGATAAACAACAGATACTTTTCTCCGAACTACAAAACCAAATCAATCTAAACAAACATCTCCCCCTTTTACGATACGATATTTACTCTAAACAATTGTCTCAGGAATTTCAATTGAAACTTTGAAGAAATTGATCTTTGTCTCAGTTTCATTTGAGCTTTCTTTGGCTTTAGACATGAGTTTGTTGGAGAGAAGTAGCAGCAGCAGCAATACCAACGATTATCTGCTAAGTTCTGATGAACTTTTTCTCAAAGAATTGGAAAGTCGCGATGGGATATATTCATTTATATATCATGAACTGGAGACGACAACAACAAGGAACTTAGAAATGACCGAAAATGACAAAAGCCGGGGAAGTTGTTTGCTTGAAACTTCAAATTGCACTGGGAAACAGGATCATCAGCAATTCATTATTTATCAAATTGAAGAAGCGAATACGGAGGACATTTTAACAACACCTGATGGGATTAATATTCCTGAAAATAATATTTCCGAAACTACAGAAAAAACAACAACCAATATATCCACATTTTCCATTAACAATAGTATCTCAACAGAAACCCTTCAACTAAAGCAGACATCTTCGTTGGAGTTGTGGAAAACCTGGTACCCACCATTTGGTTTATCTCCCTGCCGCTTTGCCGGTCAACCACAATTGTTCAGTAAAAATAACAAGGATTTTCGTATACGCCATGCAACACCACGTTTCTCACATATCACCGTGCCGATGGTGCGTAATCGTCGCCACCGCTTGAAGGAAACATCGGAATATAAAAAATTCCCCATTGAAGGTTACACTCCAGATTTGAGGTCGCTGTTTCCCCACGATCCTGATGTTCATGCTCCGTTCACAGGGAAAATTGATGTCAATGAGAAATAGTTTAATTTTTTTCAAGACAAATTAACAACATTTGTTTATTTATTAAAATAGTGGAATAAAATGATATCAGAGATAGAATTTTTTATGAGGAACTAATATATATTAACAAAAAATAAATAAATAAAATAACAAATAAACAAGTAAGTTCGGCCGGGCCGAACTTTGAATACCCTCCACCATTTAGAACGAATTTGGCAATTCTCAAAAACAATAAAATCCGTTAAAAATTCTGTTAAAATCTTAAAAATACCGAATATAGCTGTTACATTAGGGTCTGTACGACGACATGGACCTGCATAGGTAACTTTTGTCATAAGCCAGGCAATATTCAAACTAAACCAAAAAAAAAAAAAAAAATAATAAATCGGTGAATAATGTAGCTAAAATCATTAAAATACCGAATATCGGGAGGTACCGTTATATGCGGGCTATACGAAGACGTGAACCTGCTCGGACAATTTTCTATCATAGGCTGTAGTATCCACTACGAACATCAAATACCAAATTTGAAAGAATTCCGGCGACTAATGTCGCTAAAATCCACAAAGTACCGTATATCGGGAGGAACAGTTATATGGGGGGCTATATGAACTTGCACAGACAATTTTCTGTCATAGGCTGTAGCATTAATTTCAAACTTCAAATACCATATTTGAAACAATTCCGATGAATATTGTCGCAAAAATCATCAAAATACCGAATATCGGGAGGTACCGTTATATGGGGGCTATACCAAAATGTGGACCTATATGGCCCATTTTCAATATCAAAAGACCTGCAGACATTATATACATTTGAGTAAAATTTTATTAATCTACTTCAATTCATTCGGAAGCTAGAGTGATTTCCGCCTCCTTCTGGTATCTACCCACAAAGGGTCAACATTTTGAATACTCATGAAGCTGATAAAAAAAAAGAATCCGATTCCATTCAGACTTGGAACATCTAAATATTTCCATTAACACAATTCGCACATAGGGTACAAGACTTTGATAAAGAAAATGCTATAAGAAAGCTTTTGTAAGAATCGATAATAGATCATACACGGGTGAGACAAAATTATTGTCCACTTTGCAATTAATTTAAATCATTTTAAATGCTACAATGTCTATTTCAATTTTATACAAAACTATAATTCATATATTTTTTTAAAATATACGTACCTGGGATTTCTGTCAAATAAGGCGGGTATTTTCTTGTATTTGCATCTCTAATAGTGTCACATCAAATTAAAACGGAAGCCCGATCAAATGGAGACGGTTGTAAACAAGACATTTCCAAAAAAAAAAAAATGCACTCGACAAAGCCTCCCTTTGGAGTTTGTTTCTCTCTCTCTCTCTATCTCTCTCTGTCATTGTTGTGCTCAGTAAAATATAAAGAGGAAACCTACTCTTCTTTTGCGGAGTATTGGAGCAAAACAACATTGACTCTCCCGTGAGAGTGGTCTGAGAGTGGATAGTGGACAATTATAAACGCACAAAAGAAAAGCGAAACTCCTTGTTAACGTTATTAATATTTTGTCTTAAATTAACTACATTTCAATAATGTTAATTTTTAATATTTATTGTTTTATTTGCAATGAACACATTAAACCGCGTAATAGTAATGCAGTTCTTAGTTAAACACATTGAAATTTAGAATTTTGCGAAGCATAACCACGCGCGAGGTATACAACAACCGATTTGAAGAAGAACACAAAATAAACTGAAGAAAAGCAATGGTCAGAGTTGTCGTGCTAATTTAATTAGAAGAAGATTTTTAGTAAAAGTTTTAGCGAACCTGCTCCTTACTCTTTTTCGATGTTATAGCGACAGTGAATGAAAATTACAGGGATATTTAGGTATTTTTTATGTATATATGGCTAGAGAGGGCATATATCATTTGATACGGTCAAAACGTGCCTAGTCGAAACAACTGTTTTAGACCTAGGTCTCAAGGTATGGTGTGAAAATAAAATTTATCGGTCCACTCCCTCTGGTACCTCCCACACAAAAAGTCGAAATTATCAAAAAATATATTTTCTGCACAGAAGAAATGTACAATTTGAAGACAATCGGTCTCTTACATCACATTTTATAAAAGTTATAATTATTGAAAATGTTGATCCTTTGTGGGAAGGTACTTTAAGGGGTGGACCGATATTGTCCATTTTCGCACCTGACCTAGCAGTGATGGAAGGATTTGCAAAGTTGGAGTAAAATTAGTTTATCCTTTCTATTTCTGAGAAGCAAAATATTTTCTTTGAAAATGTTGCCGTTTTGTGTGGGAGATACCAGAAGGTGTGGGCCGATATTGCCCATCTCCGAACTCGATATAAGTTTGACAATAATATTACGATGTACCAGGTTTGGATCAAATCGAATTCTGCCTTCGAGTGTTATCGTTCGCACCAGCCAACTAGACAGACAGACGGACGGACATCGCTAGATCGACTCCAAATGTCCTGATTTGATTTTAGTCCTAGGATCTAAAACCGTTATTACGATGATGCACGATTTGGCCGTATCAAATGATATATACAATCTTTAGCCATATGACTGAGGGTATAAAAATATTGATTCTTTGTGGGGTAGGTACTTGGTGTAGTAGACAGATATTGTCCATTTTCGCACTTGACCTAGCACTGACATAAACATTGGAATTTGCAAAATTTGAACAAATTATAACGATCCTTTCTGGTTCTATGAGATAAATTATTTTCTGGGAAAATTTTGAACTATTTTGGTTGGAGTACCAGAAGGAGTGAATCGATGTTGCCCATCTCCGAACTTGATGTAAGTTTGATAATAATATATTATGATATACCAATTTTGGACACTCCCTTGAAGATTCTTCCTTCGGAAACTCGGTCCAAGAGTTATTGTGCACACCAACCAGAGAGACATGTAGATGAACACTCCTAGATCGACTCCAAATTTCCTGTAACGGATTTGGTCCAAAGGCACCTAGAGTCTAAAAACTTGATTATTTGTGGGGGAGGTACTTGATGTAGTGGTCCATTTTTGTACTCTCCACCATACTATGGAGGGTATATTAATTTTGTCATTACGTTTGTAACTCCTCGAAATACTCATGTCAGACCCAACAAAGTAATATATTCTTGATCCGCGTAAAATTCTAAGACGATTTGTCTTGCTGTGTCCGAATGTCTTGCTGTGTGTCTGTCCGTCTGTCTGCCTGCCTGTTGTAATCACACTATCTTTCGAACGAATTGAGATAGAAGGCTAAAATGTTGCACACATGTTTATTTTTTCAGTAGGCAGGTTAAGTTTGTAAATGGGCCATGTAGTTCCACGATTTCATATAGCCCTTATATAACGGTACCTGCCGATATTCGGTATTTTGATGATTTTTTGCGACATTTTTCACCGGAATTGTTTCAAATTTGGCATTTGAAGTTCGAAATGGATACTACAGCCTAAGACAGAAAGTTGTCTGTACAGGTCCACGTCTTCATATAGCCCCCATATAACGGTACCTCCCGATATTCGGTATTTTGTTGATTTTAGCGACTTTTTTCACCGGAATTGTTTCAAATTTGGTATTTGAAGTTTGTAATGGGAACTGCAGTCAGAAAATTGTCTATGCAGGTCCAGGCCTTCGTAGAGGCCCCATATATCAATACCTCCCAATATTGGGTATTTTAATGATTTTAGCGACATTATTCACCCGAATTGTTTCAAATTTTCAAATATTTGAAGTTTGCAATATCACAGCCTGTGACAGAAAATTGTCTATGCCGGTCCAGATCTTCGTATAGGCCTGATTTTCGGTATTTTGACGATTTTTGGCATAATACTCACCTAAATTGTTTGAGATGTCGTATTTGAAGATCGTAATGTGTGCTACAGCCTGTGACAGAAAATTTGTTATGCAGGTCCAGGTCTTCGTATAGCTCCGATATAACAGTACCTCCCTATATACGATATTTTAATGATTTTAGCTACATTATTCACCGTTTATTTCAATGACTTATGACAAACAATGCCTATGTAAGCCCACGTCGCATAGACCCCAATATGTTTTTAAGATTTTAACAGAATTTTTATTTATTTTTTTTTTTGGAAAATTTCCAAATTCTTTCCAAATGGTGGAGGGCATTCAAAGTTCGACCCGGCCGAACTTACTGCTTTTTAACTCGTCGCACTTGTTCCAGCACTGACACAAATATTGGGATTTGCAAAGTTTGAACAAAATTTAACGATCCTTTCTTGTTCTACGAAGTAAATTATTTTCTTGTTGCAAAATTGTCAGGCTTAATCCCTTTATTGTTGTTTTTATAAAAACAACGTTTGTTTATTAGTGGAGAACGATGGTGATGTTTACCAGGGGGTAAGGCACTAATAATCAAACGTAGTAAGTTCGGCCGGGTCGAACTTTGAATGCCCTCCACCATTTGGAAAGAATTTGGAAATTTTCCAAAAATTTTGACCTTTTGTGTGAGGTACCGATGTTGCCCATCTCTGGACTCGATCTAAGTTTAATAATAATATATTATGATGTACCAAGTTTGGATACTCCCTTCAAGAGTTATCGTGCACACCAGACAGACTGACACGTGGATGAACAGATCGACTCCAAATGTCCTGAAACTGATTTGGTCCAAAGAGTCACAGGGTTATTTCGACGAGGCACGTTTAGGCCGTATCAAATGATACATACTCTCTGTAGCCATATGGCAGGGTCAACATCCGGTACAATACATATATGATATAAAAAGTCAATATCCCGAAAAATGCCTATAAAATTTTGCAGATTCCATATAAACTTTATAAATTTAGTGTTATCCAGAGAAACTTAATTTTTGCCATAATTATTTAAAGTCAGCAAATTTCAATTTACGCTTCCTTGTTGAGAAATCACTTCTTTTAAGAATTGACGTCAAATTTAGAAATTTCTTTCAAATCCTGATGGTTGCTGCAATTAGAGTTAAACATTAGAATTCCTTAATTGTAAATAAACTGTGGCTGTATGCGTGTGTGTGTGTATATGTGTGTGTGTGTGTGAAGACCACAACTTGTATTGGTGCATTCAATAAATTAAACCAACAACTTGACACTTTGTTTGATTTAAAATGGACTTTAATAAATATGTTAATATCGAATGCATTAAATTTGCTGGGTGGATTTTGTTTAAAGGACACACATTGTTGGCCGGCATCTGGTATCTAGGCAGGGGCGTGGAT